TTTTGACTATCCCACTTGTTAAAAAAGACTGTTACCACAGTCGATACATTGTTTCAAAGTTTCCATTTATAATAATCCATAAAATCGTCTCATTCGTCATCATCGTCTTAGAAGATGTAAGTTGATTCCTCCCCCGGTTGTCTACAACAACAACAGTAACAACAACATGTTTGTCCTCGGTTTGTACATCGTACACCGGTTGAATTTGTCAAAAGGCATCGTTTATGTGTAATCTTCCTTCTTAAGGGACATGAAGGCAAAAATTGTAGGAGTCATTGTGGTCAAGAGTGTAATCAGAAATATCACACTCTGTTGCGAGCCAAATACAGATTCGTTAAAATTCGAATTTTTCTTCGTAATTGTTCTCTCACTTTTAATGTGATTGATCCAGACATTTCACGTCGAGAAGAACAAAGTGAATATAGTTGATATCATTGATTTATCCGGCATCTAAATCTCGTCGTTTGGAACAACTTCAGGAAAACTTAAATCTATCGGTCATGTTGGAAAAACGTAACTTGAAGCTTCGTTGTCGCTGTAAGATCGCTTATTTTAGAAACTTCATCATTGGTTGTAGATTCAATATGAAGAAATTTCCCAACAATTTCGGTCACAACCATCCTGAAGTCAGATTTTTCAAATGTAGTTTTATAAATTCGCAGACTCTCGTCCAATGGATATTGCGTTAGGAGCAGATTTGTACTCTTCTTCTAACTACTACATCCTTGTTGTGTAGGAGAGACAGATTTCCATGTAAATATGATTGATGGGACAAGCCGCCACCCTTTAGGCATCTTAATGTCTAGACAACAAAAATATTATTGAGTATCGACCGCGTTGTTAAGTTGTTTAGTTTGAAGGATAGTTGGATACTTAGACTTTCACAGTAGACTCCAGCTTCCGTTCCACTTTCCATTTTTGACCCATCAGTATAGACAGCTATACTGTTAAAAGGTGGAGTGTCGCGGGTCCAGATGTCCCTGTTAGGTATATGAATATCAAGTAGTTCAAAGCTGTGCCTAGGTGATATATATGTAGCCTGATTTTCTATGAGAATGACGGAGTGTCCAAAGGCCTGACTCCGCCATTGCCCTAGTTCATTGAGTCGCAGGGCACACCTAGCAGCTTGTTCCCCACAAATAAACCTACCGGTTTTAAATTGAGTAGGGTGTCTAGTGCGGATTGGGGTGTGCTCCTATACGCCCCTATAATTAGTAGCGACTTTATCAATGCTTTTACTGAAGGTGGTTTTCCCTAAGGAGTGCTACCAAACAAGCCTCCTATAGGTTAGAATTGGTTGGACGACTGACTCATATAACCATTTGATTATGTCAGGCTTGAGTCTCCAGGTTTTTCTATGGAGTTTTTCCAGGAATAAAGTGGAATTGAGCCCTTCCTCACTCGCTCCTCGAGTTCCTCTTCCAGCTTAGTTTCTGGTCTAGGATGGTACCGAGATATTTGGCTTCCGAAGAAAGGCTTAGCATAACACAATCAAGTATCGGTAGCGAAAAGTGTTTTGGATTTTCCGCTTCTCTGTTTTTGATGGGTTTACGCCAAGTCCATTGCAGCATGTCTATCTGGAGAGTTTAACTGGAGTTCCCTGAATAAGATCTAAAACAGTTTGCGGGAATTTTCCAGCAATCAGCAAAACCACATCATCGGCGTATGCCACGACCTTGTTCCGTCGTGTTCCAGTTCGATTAGAATAAGGAATCTTAATTCTTCTTTATATAATAAGTTTGTGTTTTGTAGATCATCTCCAATTCCACAATTGCTGTTTCCAAGATTTTCGTTTGTACTTGGCGAGAAGGCGTTTCAAGTGAGAGTTGGGAGATTGTGGAATTAGCGGCCTCTAACCCTACGTAATTTTACCTGTTCTTTTGATATATACAGGAAGAGGAGTTTTGAATATTTTTTGTTCATTGAGTTTCAGTTTGCGGGTTATTTTTGTTATTTGTTTTTAGTTATTGGCTGGGGAGCCATTTTATGGTTGTTTATTTTCCATAGAGTAATTTTATTCATTCGCGCGGATGGAAACGATTGATGGTTAGCACCTGCATGTAGAGATGCCTCTTGCCTTTTTCCTCTGGAGGAGGTGGAGAAGTTTTGTCTGAGGGTCTAATTATTGTACTGTTGTATGTTAATATAAGATTTTGACCATGTTGGCTTATTTGTATTGAATTGTATGAAATAAATGAAATGATAAATTTAAACTAAAATGCTTTATACTTTACAATTTCATTGTGAAAGATAATAAAACTCATAAGCGATTTTTGGAGCGCTTCAGTTTTAATCCATTTATTCTGGGCTTTAAGTGGAAGTTAGGTGGTTCCAAGAAAAAAAATTTATACTAAATTGTTGTTCGATATGAGAACATATGCTTATTTCCTAATATTGCATAAAGTCATGTGAACCAACCTTATGTGTAATTCAATGTTTTTTAATCAGGTTGCGGAGAACGATTTAAATACGCTCTTTCTCACAACTATTCACGCCGACGATTCGATTGTTTTTTAATTTATCGCGAGCGATAAAGTTGCAATGAGTACAGTAGCATTTATAATCTCCCACGAGCATAAGCACTGCACAAAAAACTCATGAACGATAAAACTTCGCTGCAATCGTCGTCGATTCGATCTTTCGCGAACGTTCGTTTTTATAACCTACACCACATAGTGGTAAGGGTTTTATGTCTTTGTGCATTTGTTTGTAACATGGATAAGGAAGCGATGTAGATCCATAGTTACTTTTGAGGATCTTCATAGGATCACTTTCTGAGTCGATTTATCCATGTCAGTCCATCCGTCCATCCGTCCGTCCCTCCGTCCATGTATTCTTGTGAACAAAATGCAAGTCGCATTTATTATCCGATTTTGGTGTTATTTTAAAAACAATGTTTGTGACGAACCCTATTGAAATTGGTGATAATCGGATCACATTTAGTTATAGCTCCCATATATCTTCAACCGATGTCGGGTTAATTGTGCACCAAATGACCAATATCAGTCCAAATGAGCTGAAATTTGGCAGAAGCGGCCGAATTCAGTGTAGAAGCAAGTACATCAAATTTTGGTTCAAAATCGAATTCAGATATAGCTATAGCTTCCATATATATGTTTCATCCGATTTAGTGTTTAAGTCCCTCACATGCGTAATATGCACTCCACAAGAATAATATTTGGTATCAGATACAATCCAGAAATACCTCTGTCAAATGTTATCAAAATAGGTTCAGATTTGGATAAAACTTCCATATAATCCGATTCCAGGTTTATTGTGCAAATAATGGCTAATATCAGCCCAAATAGAATGAATTTCGGAACATAGTGAATTGTGGAACTCAACTCCGATATATATTTTTTTAATATAATTCTTTTCGAAGTGATATCATGCACTCTATAGCAATGTTATTTGGTATAAATGATTAAAATGTCCCCGTCAAATTTAGTGAAAATCGATTCAGAATTGCACATGCCTCATATATATTACTTTCCTCTAAAACTAAACTATAACTTCTATAAAACCAAATATTTATAAGTATTTATGGGTAAGTATGCATATTGGTGTAAGGTATCAAATAGTCGCCCCGTCCGACTTTTGACTTTTCCTTACTAGTTTGAGAATGCAAAATGAACTCATGCGAGAATATCGTATTTTTAATCGTTCGCGATCGATTAATAAACATTTTATTTTATGTTGCACATTCATACGCTGTGAGTTTACATTATTTGATTATGAAGAACGTTTTATGATGCTGTTTACAAAATTGATTTATATAAAAACTATATTTAATATATTTAAAATATAAAAATTACTAAAAAGCTTGTAGACCAGACATTACATTTAAGCTTTCTTAAATTCCTTATGAGATACTTCCTTTTTCTAATATATTGTTATTCAACTTAACAATTAATAAATTATTAATTGTGGCACTGCCTTATCTTGTGCAGTATTTGGCTACAAGCGTGGAAAGTTCACTAAATGCTCTTTCTATGGACTCTTGACTTGATGGAACTGCTAAAACTATTTCAGCCAGATTAAACAAATCTTTCTACTAATCTGGTTAAAACATCGACGATGTTTGGTTATATTTTTATTAGATTTAGATGCAATGAGTAAATCAAAATTCTGGCTGTGAATGGTCTCGCAATGTCTTTTAATGTTTACTATTATGTGCCCTTTAAGTTCCTTAAAATCAGTGTAACAAACTAAAATACCGACGGTGTGTTATTCTTTTCACATATAACCCCAAAAATTAAACACAATTGTTCACTGCATTCATGCACAACCAGTTGTTATAATATGTATCTTCAGCAATTTTTATAAATGTTTTATTCAAAATTTTATATTAAAAATCTGGTTTGACAGTTCATTGTCCTAGCTGCTGCGTCAATGCGAATACCAGTATTCTTATACAATGGTTCGTTGTCATTGGAGTGACAGCGATTGTCAAAAATGATTTCAACCACCAACAGTGAATGATCGTTGTTGTGTGCTCGCACTCGTTTGTAATGTGTGCGCGTTTGTTTCGCGAACGTTCGTTTGCTAAAGAATTTATCGCGTTAAAATACAATCGCAAAATGAGCTTAAGTGAGAAGATCGTATTTTTAATCGTTCGCGAGCGAATTTTTGCGCACCCTGATTTTAATATTTGATAACCAGATGCTAGTCATTCTTAGTAAATTATGATTGTGTTTGTCGACCAAGGGATCGTTAATATACAAACGGTATGAATTGATAGAAAATACGTGTTTTTATACTCCTACCACAGATTAGCTTAAAAAATAGGGATCGAAATCTAGAATTTGAAAAATTAATTTGAGAAATTTAATTAAATAAAATAAATTAGAGAGCATCGGAATGTATTTTATAAATATCTTCAACATTATGAACTTTTATCATGGTTGAAATTGTTTTGAACAACACTTTATATTTAAATAATTCATTGATATTTGTATGTTTAAAATTTGTACAAAATTAAAAATTTATCTCGTTTTTAGATATGAAGTTGCTGTACCATTATGTAAACAGGCACTTGAAGACCTTGAAAAAACAAGTGGACATGATCATCCGGACGTGGCAACTATGCTTAATATACTTGCTTTGGTTTACCGTGACCAGGTGAGTTGTACCATTTAAATAAATATATTTAAATTTAAATCATTGTGGTAAAATATAACTCTCTCGTTTTTCCGAGTCCATAAGACCATATTAGACATTTATTTATTTATTACAACTATATATATGTGGGAATTATGCTTACCAGCTGGCTCAATTAATTAAAACACTGTCTATTTAGTCAAAAAGTTTAAAATAAAAGTTTACTGAAAAGTGTTAGGGATATTCAAATGATTCGAAAGTTTAATGAATTTAATGAAATGAATTGACGATATGATGAAATGTCTTAGCACGTCTGTTGTGTACCGCGTCATCGTATGCACTTAGGCTTAGTTAGTTTTTTTTTTAGTCCTACAACTCGGCCATCCTGCAGTCTTGCATATCGTCTTCACTTGTGTTGTCGAGCCACGACTTCATAAATTCCGCACAAGTCGATGTATGTTTCGGCCCTTCACTGTTACCAATTTTTACTACATCGTAGGTGTTGTTTGCTTTAACTTTCACAACTTTGTATGGACCCAAATACTTTGGTTTGAGCTTGAGACCACCTCCAAGCTGAGTTCGTTTAATTGCTACAACGTCATTCTCGTTGTACTAATTTGCTGGCTTACGTTTTTTATTGAATATATGTCGGTTTTCTTCTTGTACGGCAAGAATGTGTTGTTTCGTATAGATTCTCTCTGTTCGTCGTAAAGAGTAATAAGTTCTTGATAAAGTAGTTCTTTCAAATTTAAGTCTCCTCTGGTTCTCATTTTGGCCCCAATTAGCATTTGAAATGGTATGGTACACTTCGCTGGTATGAGGAATTTATAAATTGTTGTACTGCGCCAACATGCTTATACCATATGGCTGGATCGTCGATACTTAGTTTTGAAATTACGGAAACTATGATACTATCGAGTCTTTCAATTTGACCATTTGCACGAGGAAGTCCGGTAGTTATCGTAAGATGATCTATGTTCTCTTCTTCACAGTAAGTTTTGAATTCATCACTCGTAAATGCCGATCCTCGATCTGAAATTATTCTCGCTGGGTTGCCATAAATGGTACTTTGGCTTGTAAGTCTGGAAATAGCGTCTTTGGCAGAAGTCGTTTTCGTGGGATACCACCAAAAATATTTTGTGAAACTATCAATAACGGCAAAAATATGGTTGTAAAGTTTACTGGTTGATTGAAGAGGTCCCAGAAAATCGATATGATAGGTATGTAGAGGAGTATCGTCTTTGGGTATCGGGTTTAATTTGCCTTCCTGCTTACCACGTTTTCGATTAAGAACAACACACGGAATACAATTCGAAATCTGCTTCTGGATTCTCTCTTCTAGATTTGGAATGTAATACTCTTTTGAGATTAACTCTTTGGTTTTCTTTACTGAAAAATGTCCTCTTTCATGAGCATTCCTGATGATTTCGCTTCTCATTCCTTTTGGTACAACTATCAGTTCATTATCATCTACTAGTTTGTACAAAATATCTCCTTTCATGAAGTATTCTTTATAGTCAGGTTGTTCTTTCAAAATTTCTCGGATGGTGTTGAGATCGTCATGTATCAGCAATCGGCTTATTTTCGACGTTAGATTCTGTTCATTGATTATCATTATCGGGTGTCTGCTTAAAGCATCAACGTGTTTTATTTGTGTTCCTGGACGGTGTTCAATGACATAATCATATTCTTGTAAGAATAATACCCAACGCGCAATTCTGGTACATAAATCTTTTTTGTCTAATGTCTTTGCAAAGGCATTGCAATCAGTGACTATTTTAAAACTCATTCCAATTAGGTAAACTCTAAATTTGTCCAAAGCTTATATGATTGCTAGTACTTCTAGTTCATAGCTGGTGTATTTTCTTTCGGCGTCGCTGGTTTTCTTACTCATATAATAGACTGGATGGAGAAAATCGTCTTCTGGTGATTTCTGTAAAAGCACAGCTCCATATCCATCTATTGACGCGTCTTGTGAACTTCAGTCTCATAATTCTGGTTGAAAATTCTTAAAACTGGTACTTCACATAGTATCTGTTTAAGCCTATTAAAAGCTGTGATATGATCGTCGTTGAATCTAAACGGAGTATCTTTCTTCTTTAAGTCGGTTAACGGTTTGGCTATCAATGCGAAGTCTGGAATAAATTTCCTAATCCAAGGAATCTTTCTACTTGCTTAGTATCTTTCGGTTGTGAATGGTTCGCCATAGCTTTGATCTTCTCTGGTGTTGTTGAAATCTGTTGATTTTCAATAATGTAACCAAGAAACTGTATTCGTGTTTGTAGAAAATGGCATTTCTTTATGTTAAGTTCCAATCCGTAATCCTTGCAAGTATTTAGAACTCCTTCCAAATTGGATAACGCTTCGTCTTCGGTCTTCGCTGGAACTATAACATCATCCACATATGGTAACGCTATACCTTCGCGTGTTAAGTCTCTAAATATTGCATTTACATAGCGTTGAAAAATGGCAGGTGAGTTGGTCAACCCAAAAGGTATTTTAAGAAATTGGTATTGTCCATTATGTGTGACAAAAGAAGTAAATTTTCGACTATCGGCGTTGATATTAACATGGAAACCCCCATGCGCAAATCTATGGCAAATCTAAATATCATTGCTCCTTGCAGTCGATCGAGCTGGTCTTCTATTAATGGCAGTGGAAAATGGTCTTGTATAATGAATCTATTAATTTTTCGATAATCCACGCACAGTCTGTATGCAGAGTCTTTTTTTCCTGACTAGGACGATTGGACTACAAAATTCCGATTCTGATTGTTCAATGATACCTTCCTCAAGCCATTGGTCAATATGTGCGTCAACTATTATTCTTTCTTTCAGTGGAAGTCTTCGAGGTGTACAATATATTGGTGTGTCGTCAATCAGGGTAATACGCATTTCTACATTCGTCGTTTTAATCTTTTGAGGTTTATAATTCTGGACCATATTCTTAACTCTTAGTGTCGTTTCTTCGTTGGACACAGGATTTACATTAATCTGACATTCGTCGTCGGTACAAACGTCCATCTTCAAAATACTATGAGTTTCTTCAAATACTGACTCTTTTACCTTGTTAATCTTTAGGCCATCAGACGTAATCCTTATCTTCGCAAGTTGACAAAATTACCTCGACGTCGATTATTGAACTTGGTACGACGTGATATGTTAAATTATATTGTTCATTGTCTATTTCTAATTCACCATTAAAGTTGCCTAAGGGTTTAACTTTATTCTCATTCGCGTTTTTACCGAATCCGACCAAATGGAAGTTTGATTTTAAAAGTTTCGGTTTACCCATTACGATTATATACGGTTTCGGAAACAATGTTGAATCTACTACTTGTATCGAATAGTGAAGTCAAGTTCACCGAATTTCACATTTTTCCTCATGATGTCATCGGAAATTAAACATTAAACATACATTGGTTTTTTCATTTTTCTAGTTTATATATGTCCGAAATTTTCGCAATTGAAACACTCTAGTCCCTTTCCCTTATCCTTACACGATTTTGATGAATGTCCTTTATTTCCACTTTGTTTCGTTATTGTTTCTGTGTTTGAGCCACATCATTTCGTAGCACTTCAATTTTTCCTTAAACTCTGTTAGATTACGCGTACCATAAAGTATTGCTTTATTTGAAGTAGAATCTCTAATACTGCGATAACATATTGAATTAATGCACTGTCCTCAATAGAACCACGGGATGCCAATTCCTTCATATGCAGAAAGTATTCATGGACACTTTCGTTTTTGGATATTTTTCTTTCGGTGAGAAGTTTATGCAGTTGAGCACTGTTGTTAGTTGATCTAAATTCACATAAAAGAGCCGTTTTTAATTTGATCCACGTAGTGAGTCCTCGTTCACTTGAAACGAATAGCTTGGCTAGATCAGTCAGTAATTTCTTTGCAAACACAAATTTTTGAAAATCATCCCAATACATCGCGCTAGCAATTTCCTCAAACACTTCGAGCCACGATTTTATTGACAGTGTTCCAGATCCGTCAACCTATCAGATTGAATCTTCAATGTCTCTAAAACTCATTGGAAATCTTGGTGCATTTACGTTAACAACATCATACTGTATTCCACACGGGGATTGTTTTTGCAAATTTTCGTCGTTTCTTGTTCTGTTTTGATTAAGTCATTTTTTTGTTCAACTTCTTCCTCGTATGGATTGGTGTTTTTTGTCGATTTGTTATATTTTATTGCATACTGTGCAGCGCCCACGTTAACATCATTACGATGTTCCTGCTCATCATCATTATTGTTGTTGTGTTGAAAAACTTCCACTTTGTTGTTTCTAGCATTGACTATGGTTTTATCGTGAACGTCGCCGTCGCTGGCTGAATTTTGTTCTTCATCGAATTCATCATCTTCGTTTTCCTCGTCGTAGTCGATTCCCAACAAACAGCAAATAGAAACCAGGTCTGATGTTGTCATGTGCGTCTTCACATATTCTGCTTTCTGCTTGTACTGATCGTCGCCTTCAATGAAACTGAAACCTTCAAACATCCTCAGCCGTTTACGATCTCCTCTGTCTCCTTCGCTTTCAAAAACAAATTGATGAAGCATAGCCACCGCCGCACGCTTCGCCGTCCGCAGATTATTTCGAACCACTGCAAAGTCTACGAGCACAGGCAATTCGAATTTTTTTTTACCGTCGCTTTTTTACTTTTACACGTTCTTTTTCGTTTTGCTCGTTACTTTGCTCGCTGAAGACAAACTCTCCACGAATTCTCTCTCACACGTCGTTCGTGGTTTTTCTCGGAATTACAATTATTGAATTTCACAATCTTCACTTTTTCACTTAAGATCCTGGTTGAGCCCCCAAATTTGTGGGAATCATGCTTACCAGTTGGCTGAATTAATTAAAACACTGTTTATTTATATATATATATATATATATATATATATATATATATATATATATATATATATATATAAATATATGTATATATATATATATATATATATATATATATATATATATATATTTTTTTTTTTTTTTTTTTTTTTTTTTTTT